AGCCTGATTAGTCCGTAATTTGACAATGGTGTGCTACAGTAAACATGTGCTATTGATGGATTAATTAGGTTTAATAAATTCGTCTCACGGATTACTGACGGGTTATGTAATTTGTTTTTTTATTAGTATCCGAACACCTCATGCAATACCCACATGTAACACCATTTGACATCCTAAACTTTACTAGCTGTATATAATTAACTAAAGTCGATGCCCATAAGCAGGCAAAAGCTAGGCTGGCGTCTTAGTTTACTGCTTTTTAGGCAGAAGTGCTCACTACTTTCAATGGACCCCACTGGTTACTCCCCACTGCTCAGCTCATAGTATGCCGTTGCCATTGTTTCAAAATAGTATGCCGTTGCCTCTAGGAGGCTCCATGCTTGTTTCTTGCTGATGGCTCACATCAAATTGGTTCAAGTTTATCTAGTCTAATGTTCTCCACTATTAAATTTTCGTGAGAGTGGGAGCATCTGGCTGTGGTTGCCGTGCACGGTCCAATTTAATTACTCTCTTTCCTATATTTTGACTGCTTTCAAAATTTGAAAGAAGCACACACAAAGGACAGGGTCTGGGGGGTCGTCGATGTCCAGCTGTGTTTGCTTCTTTCTCTTGACTCTAGCACATGGACTTTCTCGACTTTTTATGTTAATTAAATCGCTGCACATGGCTAAGCTACCTGCCATTGGCAGCATGTTTTATTTTCATGTTCAGTTCGAGTTCGTACAAACAAAAATCAAACAGAGAAGCTGTCTTCATTTGGTTAACACTTGTAGTGTGTTAGGTTCGAGGAGTAACTTCATTCTAGATTAGGTGGCGTGTCATGAGTTTATTTCTCAAATTTGATCAAATACTCAAATAACTTCATTTCTCATCACAGTACTAATTATTAGTTTGTAAGCAATGGACTGATGAAGTGAGAAGTGAGAAGACGACCGACTAGTTTATTTTTCAAACCAAACACTCTATTAAAGAAACCTGAATAGGTTACGGTGACTGCCAGTTTCACATGTGCTTGTCGAATCTCGAGGTAAACAAATCACATGGGCAACTAACCATAGGCTTATCGATGCCATTAAACAGCCAATAGGCTGCTTAGTATTCTCAATAATCAAATACCATAGGTTCAGCGGTCTTTGCACACACTGCCTTTTAGTCTACGCTTTTCCACACATCTTATTTCCCACTCGTAAGAGGCATTTTGCCACAAGGTCTCTCTAGTTTCCATTTGCTCCTCCATTGCTGCAACCTTTCGTCGTGCACGATGCTCTTCCTAAGGTATGTTGTCATTTCTTGAAAAACCTTCATGGCCTCTACTTAGTTAAGAAGGTAGTCTGATTTAGTTGGTTTCTGTTCTCATAGTATTGCCTGGTGATGCAGAGATAGCAGAAGCTTGAGGCTACATCCGTTTCTGTAGGACTACAGATTGAAGAGATCCTACAATCGGGACCACAACAATTTACATCGGGACAAATTGATCTCCATAAGAAGCAGTCTGATAAGTGCCTTTCCAGTTGTCCTGTGTTGACCTACGTTTTCTAGTTCTAATTGTGCTGAAAATTCTGATTCAGTGGTAATAATTCTTCTAGTTGGCTGTCCTAGTTGTAGGTATTGATCAACGAGGCTGTCACTGATCCTGCTAAACTGTTCTAGTTGTCACCACATTTTGCAGGACTTGCCGTGGCATCCAGTGATTGTCCTCCATTATTTATTATATACATTGGTGTCTAAAGACCTTCCCTCAGTATTGAAGATCTTAAACGTACTCACCTGTAATGATCTAGAGGAACTGCTTCTGCAAGATGGTTACTACTAGTTCTTATATATTGTCACACTCATTTCCTTCATTGAAGATGATTTCTAGACTTGCATGTGCTGATCAAGCAGAGCTGGCACAGGTTTAATGCTCTGTGTGCCCATTTCTGTTGAGCGAGTTCATCTTTGAGCGAGTTCATCTCTAACCAAAGTGATCCTGTTGGGAGCTAAAAAGGAAAAATAGCATCGACACATACTGATCTATTTGATGTGTACCATCTGATTAGTGGCTTATCAGTTGACCTGTAATCAGGTACTTACTGCTCCACCATCATAGCTTAAATACAGTGATACTCTTCTTGCTTTAACTTTCTGCTGAACTATTCTAGTTATGGGTACCATCTAGTAATTGCCAGTCATTGAACAACCTTTGTTTTGACAAGCAAGAGGTTTGCCATTTAATTCTTTCTCGTTTTTGCAGGTTTAATTAGCTGTGATATCTGTGGTTCTCTGTTGGTGATTGGCGGATAATTTCTTCTATCCACTTAATAAATTGTTTTTTTTCAAAGGATTTACTTTTGATCTGCACGCATAGCATCGGTGCAGTACGCTGGATGGGTTGACAATCCAAACGAACTGTATATGCCAACAAGAGGATTACTATTGACTCTAGTTGGAAGATAGATTTCTAAGGTAAGACATCCAACATATACCTGCAATCTGACCATTATCATGTTTTACCAGATCGAAATGTGTAGCTAATGGAAGTATTAGTAGAGGTTTTACGTGCAAGTGCAACATGCCAAGTACTTTTTGAAATTGATAACATCAAATCTAGAGTACCTTAACTTACAACACTTGAAATAGAAAAGGGACAAGAAGGAAGCTAAGACAGGGGTTTATACCTCAATATTTTACCTTACTACTCATTTTGTCAACCACCACCGTCATGTACCTAGTATAGGCAATGCTATGGTGCCCTCTTTACTTATTAAGAGGTAATATCTCAAATAAATCCGAGCCATTGATTTTTAAGGATTTTTGAGTTAATTATCTAATTAATTAATATAAGAAAAGAAAATAAACATCATTAAATCCTCAAGTCACGGAAGAGAGAATCAAGCGCATGGCGCCTTCTTTTTCCGTGCAGACAGACCCTGCCTTTTGGGTTCAACGTGAATAAGTTGCTATTTTAGTTCTATTTTTACTTTTTGCTAATATATACATGTATACACTACACGTACAAAAAAAATTGGACTGACGTTTTGATCCTTTCATTTGGAGGAATTGAAATTACTTAATAAACTAGGCTATTTAGCTTAGAATTTGACATTCCACCACTTTCCAAAGTTCATATATAAGCCTATCTCAAGTTTATAAGATGTGAGATGAAAATTGGTTCTACAGATCGCCATGTTATATTTATACTTTACAACTTATAATACGCTCTTCAACTCGCTCTCCTACGGTAGAAATGCAACACATAAGTATCTCTTATATAGTCAACAATAATATACAAATATAATTCATATACAACCATATTAACTTAATTAATATGTGTCTAAACTATGATTCTTAAAATGAATTCAATTCAAGGATCCAAACGGGGCCTCCCTGTTTGCTTGAACTTATTAGCTTGGCTTATCAGTTATGGTATAATATTTTTCTATCACAACAAATCAGCGAACAATACTTTTCAGCATGGCTTTTCAACAGTTACGTTAAAGTTGTACACCATTCATATTATATACTCAGTTAAAAAAATATGTTGCATACTTGAATAATATCAACAACGTGAAGTTTTGTGTCCAACGTTAATAGCTGTCACATTATATGTTGAGCATGTAACGTGAAGTTTTACGTATACACGTAAATTTCATGTATGTTGGACACGTCTTTTGGCATGTACACGTACATGTTGTAGTATGTCTTGTGGACATGTACGTACGACAGGGTTACTGGCATAAACAAATAGGTAGTTTATATATGCTACCTAAATTATGTCATATCCAAAGTTACAAAAATAAAAAAGATTTATCACACTCAATAGATCTTGTATGCATCAAAGATCTAAAAATGATCTTTACATCTAGAACTTTCCTTATTTTATCCTATTTTCCAAAATTAAAAATTAAGTAAATATCTATTTGACCTATTACCTCCTAGAAACTAATAGATGATTCTAGCCGTCTGATCTAATGAAGGGCTTACAGTCATTTGGAGGCACCATAGTAAATCTCCTTAGTGTATTATTAGTTTCTAATCCATATGGCATGCCATTATGCATGATTTAGTGACAGTAGACAAAAGATGTTTATTCCTGTATATATCATGTCAACCACCACCGTCATGTACCTAGTGTATTATTAGTTTCTAATCCATATGGAATGGCATTATGCATGATTTTTTGACGGTAGAGAAATGATGTTTATTCCTATATAACTTAATAACAAGGTGCACGAAAATTCTGGATGTGAGTTCACTATACTCATATGAAACCTATTGTACAAGGGCTTTGCTCTGACACTCCCAAATGACTAATAGGAAGTAATATGTAAAATATATATTTATTTTAATTTTTTATTTTGTAAAATAGGATAAATAAGGTAATTTTTAGATATATAAAAATCTTTTTTCTACATCTAATTGATGCATGTGTAATCTATTAGATATGGTAAATCTTTTTATTTTGGAACTTTGGATTGATCTATTTTAATTAGCATGTTAGTCTTTTGATGATGCATGTAACACTCCGTGTTAGGTACCGTGGTCATGTTAGCTCATGATTTTTTTGATGCAACATGTCCCTCCTGTGTTAACTTGCGTATTTAAATGTATGTAAGATGTATATGCATGTTAAGATTAGGTGTATGATGCATGTATAACATGTATACGCATATAATAACATGTAACGTGCACACGAACTAAGAAATGAATGACCGCTTGCTTCTTGTACTCCCGTGATTACAGGATTTGAAAAATCTTTTTTGTTATATTTATTTATTAAATAATAAAAAATCAACGGTTCAGACTGATTTGAGCTATTACCTCCTATTAGGTAATGCGATTACCGTAGCATTGCCCTACAAATCAGTAGTGGTATATGTTAAATTTAATGAATGTTATCACATTTGGAGACCAAGTTAACATGTCTTCTCATTCATTGCCCAGCCTCCAACTCTTTATGTGGATCTCCCAAACCATCTTGGTCTGATGGCAACCATACTTGAATCTTTTGTCGGATCATCATGAAGAAGTTGCAAGATATTGTTACAGAGGAGGCCATACTAATTTTAGGTGTTAAAGAAGAGCTCATAGAGCTGAAGAGAAGAATGGAGCAAATATGGTACTTTCTTAATGATGCAGAGAAAAGGAGCATAAAAGAATCTGCTGTTAACAATTGGCTTGGTCAGCTAAGAGATGCTATGTATGATGCTGATGATATCATTGACTTGGCCAAATCCAAAGGAAGCAAGCTATTGCCAGGCCATTCTTCATTAGTATCAAGCAGTTCAAATACATGTAGTGGCCTTTCTCTTTCCTCTTGCTTTTTTAATATCCAGACACGTCATGAGATTGCAGTTAAGATTAAAAACTTAAACAAAAGAATTGATAATATTTCAAAGGATCAAGTATTTACTTCACTCAAGAGTACACAATCAACTGTAACAGTTTCTGTACCAAAACAGAGAAGAAGTTCCAGCCTTGTTGAGCCAAACCTTGTTGGTAAGGAGATCTTACGTGCTTGCAGAAAAGTAGTAGATTTGGTGCTTGCACATAAGGAAAAAAGGTCTTATAAGCTTGCTATCGTTGGAACAGGAGGAGTTGGTAAGACAACACTAGCACAAAAAATATACAATGACCAAAAACTAAAAGGGAGCTTCAACAAACAAGCATGGGTTTGTGTTTCCCAAGATTTCTCTGAAATAGCTATTTTAAAGGAGATTCTACGAAAAATTGAAGTACAGTACATGCCAGATGAATTAACCGATGAGCTCCAAAGCAAGCTAGAACTGTCCATTAAGGATAAGAGTTTTTTTCTTGTGCTGGATGACGTGTGGCAGTCAGACATATGGACAAATCTACTGAGAATCCCACTACATGCTGCATCCTCAGTAGTAGTTTTATTGACAACTCGATTTGACACTGTTGCTGTAGAAACAGGAATGGACTATACGCATCGAGTTGATTTAATGTCACTGGATATAGGATGGGAGTTACTATGGAAGAGCATGGGCAGCAAAGAAGAAAAAGAAGTACAAAATCTACATGACTTAGGGATCGATATTGTTAAGTAGATGTGGTGGTCTTCCCTTGCAATTAAAGTCATTGCTAGAGTTTTGGCAACCAAAGATCAAACTGAGAATGAGTGGAAGAAGATTTTGGTAAAAGATGCTTGGTCCATGAGTAGTCTTCCTAGTGAAATAACAAGTCCTATATATCTAAGTTACGAAGAGCTGCCACACCATTTGAAGCAATGTTTTATCTATTGTGCTATTTTCCCTGAAGATTCGGTAATCTACCGTGATGATATTGTAAGAATGTGGGTCGCTGAAGGCTTTATAGATGAGCAAGATGACCGAGTCCTTGAAGATATAGCAGAAGAATACTACTATGAGCTGATCTATCGAAATCTCCTCCAACCAGATTATTACTATTCTGTTGACCTTACTCAATGTAGAATGCATGATCTACTAAGGCAGCTTGCTTGTCATTTATCCAGAGAAGAACTTTTGTTGGTGATCCAGATTCAGCAGGGGTTACTGTTATGAGTAAATTCCGCCGTATTTCAGCAGTCACTATGAATGATATGGTTGTGTTACCTAGAACAGATAAGGGGAAATGTAAAGTGAGAACTTGGAGAACATCTGATACAAAGTCTTTGAGAGTGGATGATACAATATTTGAAAGATTACCATGCATTCGAGTTTTGGATTTGACAGGTTCACAGATACAAGTTGTTCCACCTTGCATTGGACGTTTGATCCACCTACGGTTACTAGACCTTGATGGGACTGACATATCTTCTCTTCCAGAGTCCATCTGTTGTCTCATAAACCTTCAGATATTGAATTTGCAGGGGTGTGATTCTTTGCATAGTCTTCCCTCAGGAATAACTCAGCTATGCAACTTAAGGCGATTTGGCCTAGACGATACACCAATAAATGAGGTTCCAGAAGGTATTGGCAGATTAATTTCTCTCAACGATTTACAAGGCTTTCCTGTTGGTGACGGCTCTTATAACAATTCTGTAATGCAAGATGGATGGAATATAGAAGAATTGGATCCCCTTTGGCAGTTGAGGAGGCTTGATATGATCAAACTGGAAAGAGCAGTTCCTCCTAGTAAAGATTCACTGCTAGCAAACAAAAAACATCTCAGAAAATTAGTGCTACGTTGCACTGAACACATAGGTGAGCCATATTCTGAAAAAGCTGTAATCAATATTGAGGAAACCTTTGATTTGCTAATCCCTGCACACAACCTGGAGGATCTCTGTCTTGTGAATTTCTTTGGTCGGAGGTTTCCCGTCTGGCTAGGTAGTGCTGCCCATTTGCCTTCACTGACATACTTGAAGCTCATAGATTGCAAATCATGTGTTCATCTTCCACCAATCGGTCAGCTCCCCAACTTGAAATATCTGAAAATCAAAGGAACCACTGCAGTCACCATGATTGGACCCGAATTTGTTGGCTCTGGGATGGGTAATCTCAGATCTACAGAGGCAGTAGCTTTTCCCAAGCTTGAAACATTGGTCATCATGGATATGCCCAACTGGGAGGAGTGGTCCTTTGTTGCTGAAGAAAAACAAGAAGCAACAACAGCATTCACGGAAGGAGCAGAGGATAAGGCTGCTGCAAATCAAAAGTGGGATGCCCCACCTCCAAGGATACAGCTGCTGCCACGATTGAAGCGGTTGGACCTGGTCCGCTGCCCCAAGCTGAGGGCTCTCCCAGAGCAGTTTGGACAGGAGGCCACCAGCTTGAAGGAGCTCTATTTAAGAAAAGTGCACAGCCTTAAGGTGGTGGAGGACATCTGTTTCCTCTCAGAGGTCCTTTTAATATCAGATTGCGAAGTCCTAGAGAGGGTCTCAAGTCTTCCGCGCGTGAGAGAGCTGCGGGTAACTCGCTGTCCAAATTTAAGGCGGGTCGAGGAGTTGGGTAGTCTTGAGCAGCTGTGGCTGGACATGGATATGCAGGACCTGTCCTCACTGTGGGTGCCAGGGCTCAAACACGGACGCCAAAAATGCCCTGGCGAAGACCTCGAAGTGTTCACATGGCCTAGGGAGTGAGATACATCATACACCCAGTCAGGTGTGCAGCACAGCCTCAAGGTATGAACATACTAACTGGTTTGGCATTAATTTGGCTGTGCGTCCCTGCTCCTTTCTTGTGTTGTCCCTTTAATGTTCTTTTTGTTTTTCTTCTGTATATTTGTCTTCTGAAGGAACGATGGGGGACTGCTCATGATGTAAGCCCCAAGACGAGAGCTCATCGATGTGGGAACGCCAAGGAGAAGAGCGTCTGCCTACCAGAATGCTTTGTTCTATTTATGCCTATATATATACGTTCATATCTATGCCTGAACTAATGTCTATGCACTATATTAAATAAAAGCAGCGGTATGCTAGCTAATTGAGTCCGTCGACTCTGTTGAGAATTAATGTATGCATGGTTGCTTGCCGTGCTTGACATTTGTCAATATGTAACGTGAACAGCTTATTCTTTATGTTGTTATTTGCTGGGCCTCATTATATCAGGGTTAATCTCTATTGATTCTCTTGGGTTTGTCTTGGGATGCCCTGACCTGACCCTCGCTCATCATGGAGCGCCTGTCAATATGGAGTCATGGACCGCAAGAGACGAATCTCTGCTTGGTGATTGGGCTCGCAAGAGCAGTGCCGCGGTCCACGCTAGCTAGGTGCTGCTACGCGTCATCAGCTCGAACGTCTTCACGTGTGTGTGCGTGCGCGCGTGGGCGTCGGCGTGTGCGTGTGCGTGTGTTTGTGTGTGTGATCATTCCTGGCCCGCCTGCTTATCCATTCGTCTCGCACAACCTGACCAACCATATGTGATGCGACACCACTGGTCCGTGAACGATCAGTCCATTCGAAAGTAGCGATCAATATTCCGGCATAACAAAATTTCCCCTTTTTGGTAAAGTACAGTGCGCACCGCAGAGAGCAGGCGCAACATCCCGCTCCCTCATCCCTTTCCCTGCATCTGACGTCATCCTAGGAAAATACAAAATATTTATTTCAAAATGCTAGAACTTCCTAACGGTGCATCCGTTTTCAATTCCGTCTGCACCATTATGTTCTACGCGACGAGGTGAACAAAACTAGACACCACTTGCATATGTTTCGAAGAAGTTTATTCTAGTAACAACTTATTCGAGATGAGTGCACGGGGAAAAATTTAGTGAATCTGTAGACTGGTCTACTAGCTATATACATATTTTCTGTAAGATTCCGTTCTCTTCCTGCTGAAGCAATTCTTCGAAAAGGAGGAACATAGATGATTCTTTACTAGATGTTCTGTAGCTGGATCTTCTGTTTCTACGCCCTCTCTGTTTGTTATGGTATGTAAAAAGCATCATTATGTAAAAAAGCCCTCTATCTTCTGTTAAAGAGTTGTGCTTGATTTACGTGGCTTGACAGTGCACCTGTTCCTTCACATTTCTGTTGGACAGCCAAGTGACGAGATCCTGTTTGAGTTAAACCAATACACCATCATACATACAGACACCCGTCTGTATCAACCATCGGTTGCTTGCATCCTTCAACTCTGCTCTTCTCAGCTCTGGTACATCAGTTTTTTTTTCTTGGCCTCCAGTACTTGATCTAAGAAAGAGTTCTCGTTTTCATCTTTTCCTTCTCGAAATGCATGCCTGAATTTGAATGCGCTGATCTTGCAGAGATAGCGGAAGTTTAATGCTTGCGAGCAATATTGATCTCAGTGTAGAATAAAATCTTATGATTGGTGACGTCCTATCACTACCGGAGACGTCCTCTTTGGCGAGGGCTTGTGGATTTGCCGAGGACTAGATCTCAGGCACTCGGCAAAGGGGGTCTTTGCCGAGGGCCAGCCACAGGAGCCCTCGGCAAAGATAGGCCCTCGGCAAACAAACGGCCCTCGGCAAAATAAATCTTGCCGAGGGCCTAGCCCCCGGCAAATTGGCCCTCGGCAAATATGGCCGGATGGGTCACGGCAGCCACTGGCATTAGTCTTTGCCGAGGGCCCGCCGTCAGGCCCTCGGCAAAGATTTTTTATTTTTTTTTTAAATATTCTTTGCCGAGGGCCATTGGCGTGCCCTCAAAAAGACCCCCTTTGCCGAGGGCCAGGCTAGACCCTCGGCAAAGAGTTTTTTTTTTTGTTTTTTGAACCCAATTTTTTTGTGGTGCTATAATACATTATTTAAATCTCAATGTTAAAATTTGGGCCAAATTTGACTTTTTTTGGTATATTTCCCTAATTTATTTCTTTTCGTTGATTTTTTCGAATATTTCAAATTTGAACTGCAGGTGGATGGAATAATGCAATTTAGTGATTCGAAAAATGTTATTCATGGTATTTGGTGTATGTTGAGTCCCTATCCACGAACTCGCATCAAATTTCGGGCATCTTCTTCACGTAACATGACGAGGAGCTTGTCGGAAAAGTGTTTTTAAATTATATAAAATTCATACGAAGTCCGAAAATCATGAAACTTATCGAGGTGTCATGTTATCGCATGTGTAGGCTGTGGTAAATATTTGAGAAGGTTTCGAGCAAGTTGTGACGCGTCGGATGCCTAAAACGCAGACATCTCCACATGTGGAAAGGGCCAACCCTAAATCGGCCACCGTCCAAAATTCCCATACCAGAAAAATCTTTGCCGAGGCCGGGCCTGGCCCTCGGCAAAGGGGGTCTTTGCCGAGGGCCTGGCCAATGGCCCTCGGCAAAGAATATTTAAAAAAAATTAAAAATCTTTGCCGAGGGCCCTGGATCTGGGCCCTCGGCAAAGGGGCCAACCGTAAAATCGGCCAGAGCCCACCCCGCCCATAGAACGTGCACGCCGCTTTTTGCCCCGCCCGCTCCCCCTGTGCCCCGCCGCCCTCCCGCCCGGCCACACACATGGCCCGGCTGCCCCCACGCCCACAGAAGTGGCCGGGCACAGACCTTGCAAGCCCGGCCGCCACCGCCACCCCAGACGCCCCGGCCCTCGGCCAGAGGAGGGAGGAGGAGGAGAGAGCCACGGAGGAGCCCCACCCCGCCGCCTCGCCTCAACCCGCCGGAGGTGCCCCGCCCCGGCCGCGCCGCCCGGCCACGCCCGCCGGCCGGCCCGCCCCGAGGAGGAGGAGAACCTCCGCGCCGGCCACCGGAGAAGGAGGAGGACTCGCGCCACCCGCCAACCCCGTCCACGCTGTCGCCGTGCCGCCCGTTCCGAGGTGCCCGCCCTGCCCCTTGACGCCGCCTGTCGCGACCCTCGCCCGTCTGCTGACCTCCCACGCCCCTCCGACGTCGGTATGCCCTTCCCTCGCTTCATGGTGTACAATCTTTGGTGAAGGAGGAGGTCTAGGTGGAGGTCGAGGTGGTGGTGGCGTGCAATGGTGGGAGGTGTAGGTGGAGGTGGAGAAGGAGGGTAGTGTGTTCGTTGAGGTGGTGGTGGTGTGGTCGTTGTGGTGGATGTGGTGGTGTGGTCGTTGTGGTGGATATGGTGGTGTGCTCATGGTCGTTGTGGTGGATGTCGTGGTGTGGTCGTGGTGGTGGTGGTGGGGGTGTGGTCGTGGTGGTGGAAGTGGTGGTGTGTTGGTGGTGGATTAATATATATCTGGCTATCGGCCATCGTGCCGTATTTGTTCCCTTGATATGTGGTTGTCGGCCATCGTGTCGGTTTTTTCTTGCAGGTTTTGGAAACCTCCCTGCTGAGGGGAGGTCTCGCCAAATTTCAACTTATAGTATTGTGTTTCTTCTTTTGCAGAGAAGAGCACGTTAGAGGGGACTCGGCGACCCCGATCCTCTTCGTCGGCGTTATGGTTACGCTCAAGACAAAGATCGCCTCACATCGCCTCGACTCGCCATCGCCCGCTAGCTCCGACTCCACCGCCACCCTAGGTATAAATAAGCCCTCCTCCCATATCATTGTCTTAGATCGCGTAACCCAGTTAGGCGTCTCCCGTCCAAAAGAGATACGGTCGTAGGTATGCGGATCTTTGCATATCTACGACCGTATCTGTTTCGGATTGTCCACGTTTTTTGGACAGCCCGCGGATGCGTAGATGGGTTAGTTTCCATGGTCCGTGACCGAGTTTCAGCAGCTCTTCCCTGTTGTTCTCTGGATACACACTCTCCCTGGTAGGACGTGTATCGGGAGAACAATGAGGGAAATCTTGCCAAATTTATCTCGGAGAGGAGCGAAGCCTGGAAACTGACCTCATCTACGCATCCGCGGGTGGGATTAGGACCTATCCTCACCTATTAGGCATTAGGAACACCGCGTAGATGCAATTGATGGTCACAATACTCTGTGATGTAAATGTTAAAGGATGGAGGACCGTCAGTGGATGTACACGGGCTGGAGAAGCGGCAGTGACTACGACTATGAATGGGTGAAGGGGACAGATCGTTTCTTGAAACATGCATTTGGCCCAGGAGCAGGAGGACATTCTCTAGTTTGGTGTCCCTGCAGCAAATGTGACAACAGGAGAAAGGTAGACGAGAAGACCATGGGTAGACATCTTGTGTTCAATGGTTATACGCCTGGCTATCAGCAGTGGATCTACCATGGTGAAGCAGATCGTATAAGAGCGGAGGTGGTGAGAGCACGCCTTGAGGCTTTTGATGATGATGCCGGGGTAGCAGACATGCTAGATGACACCCACCAAGCTCACTTCGCTGAACGACGTGAGAAGGAGGAGATGGAGGAATCCGCAAAGGACTTCTACAAAATGTTGCACTCGGCACATAAACCCCTTCACGAGCGTACAATGATTTCTCAGCTGGATGCGGTTGGATGCGTAATGGGGTTGAAGGTCGAGTTAAACCTGAGTCGAGAAGGCTTCGATAAGATGTTGGCCGTGTTTGGCACCATGCTACCGGAGAAGCACACTTTGCCGATGAACTTGTACGAGGCAGAGAAACTCCTTCATATGCTTAAGATGCCGTATGACAAGATACATGTTTGTCCGAAGGGGTGCGTCCTATTTAGGAAAGAACACAAGGACGCAAATTACTGTTCGAAGTGTAAATCCTCCAGGTACCTGGAGGTAGACTCTGGTGATGGTCAGAAAAAGCGGCTTCGATCCCCGCG